CAGAGTTCGCTAAGCTGGGTCTTTATCCTTCGAAGTCTGATCCGGCGATGTTCGTTAAGACGGACGAGCGTGGGGTTGTTATTGCTTTGGTGCATGTAGATGACACCATTGTTGCGTCGGAAGACCCAGAAATGGTCCGGGCAATTAAAGCTGCAATTGCAAAGGTCTTCAAGGTGCGCGACCTTGGAGAAGCGAAGGTGTTTTGGGGCATGGAAATTAGGAGGGAGAAGTCGGGTGAGATAGTGTTGTCGCAGCATAGGTATATTGCGCAGCTGTTGGAGCGTCATAGGATGATTGACGCCAAGCCGAGGTCTACCCCTTTGCCTCCGGGCTTTAGGTACACTCCTAAGGGGGACGGAGAGGAGCTGCTGGGCAATCCCACAGAGTATAGGGCTTTGGTGGGAGAATTGAACTATCTGGCGACGAACACGCGGCCTGACATTTCATATGCATTGAGCGTTTTGTCCCGGCATATGGCCGCACCCACGAAGACTGCCATGAACTTAGCAATCGGCGTTCTGCGTTACCTGGCGGGGACTCGCGAACTAGGATTGCGTTTTGGGGGTGTTGGCGATGTTGCTATGTCCGGGTACAGTGATTCGGACTGGGCAGGAGACCCAGTTACGCGGCGTTCTACATCCGGCTACGTTTTCACTCTTAATGGGGCTGCGATTAGCTGGAGCAGCCAACTTCAACGTACTGTGGCGGCTTCGTCGGTGGAGGCCGAGTATCAAGCGACAGCAGCAGCTGTTCTCGAGGCTTTGTGGCTTCGTAAGCTGATGGTTGATTTGGGTTTGCCTGAGAGCGCTATCAGAATCCAAATAGATTCCCAGGGGGCGCTTAGCTTGGAAAATAACCCGATTACGTCTGCTCGGTCGAAGCACATCGACGTGCAGCATCACATAGTGCGTGAGAGGGTGAATAGTGGTGAGGTGCAGTTGGAATACTGCCCTACGGAGTGGATGGTTGCGGATGTGCTCACGAAAGCTCTCGGCGAGGTGAAGTTCAAACGTTGCCGAGATGTGATGGGCCTTGTGTGAAGTGTGCAGATGAACTTGGTACTCGTTGGGATACGGCCCGAGGGGGCGTGTTGAGGCCCGAGGGGGCGTGTTGAGGAAACGGTCCTCTCCCAACTCGTGTGGTTGTTGACCAGGGGATTTGACCCCGGGTCTGCGCCTGACTAATGGGGAAGACTTACCCCAGAACCTTATAGGGCTACCGATGCATATCCGGTAGCTAAGTGATAGACATTGGGCACCGTCAGGATGGCGCAGTGAGATCGCGGAATGTACGTGCAGTTAGATCACGGAATGTACGAGTTTTCCGCTAGCGCCGGTATTTAGGGCGGTGACTGCACTTATTTGTTTATCTCACAACGATCGGTATTCCTCAAAGGAATCTCCTCAAGTCCTGCCGAACGCTTATAATACCCTTTACATAACTTGTAACATTTTATCGTGCTAAATATCTTCGCCGCCGGCAATTCTTCCGAGATAACAATCATAGGCAGGCGGCTGGCAGAGGTTAAGGCCTGACTTCTGCTCCCGTCGCGTCCCGGCGCGTCCGGGTTCAAATCCGCCTGCCGACCTCTCGGGGTGTTTGAGAGGTGATGAAATGGGAGGTGGCCCCCCATCTTGTGGAAGGTGTAGGACGTGATAAAATCAACTCGCGAGCTGACCAGGAACTAAGTTGACGCGCCGTTGATCCGCTAGATTTGGTTGGATGCTGGTGGTGAGTTGCCGAACCCAACGAATACACTCTGAAGTCGGATGGGGTGAATGGCTTAGGGTGCCCCTCTAGCAGGGGAGAGCAGGGAACTGCCTCGGGAAGGAGGCCGCTGGTGAAGCTTAACCACCCTGTAACAACATCAACAATCAGCGTTAGCCGTCACCGTCGCCATTTCTCCAATATTAAGGAGGTTCGTACGGATCGTGGCGGGGAGTTCATTAATACTCGCACGAAGGGCTATTTCGCGTACAGGGGTATTGTTCATGGAACTACGGTAGGCTACACCCCTGAGCAGAACGGAGCAGCGGAACGTTTGAATCGCACTTTCCTAGACAAAACCAGAGCTATGCTTGTCGAGCTATGGTTGTCGAGTCCGGTCTACCTAAGTCACTATGGGCGGAAGCGTTGGCGACAGCCAATTAATTACCTAAGGAATGTGTCGCCAACTGCTGGGTCAACTGTCACGCCGTATGAAGCTTTCTTCAACGTCCGTCCTAACGTCAGTCACCTTCGAGTTTTTGGGTGCGTCACCTACGTCCAGGTACCTGACGTCAAACGCGACAAGTTCGATCCGGTGAGCAGGCGTGAAATAACTTGTCGGATACGGGAACGGAGGACAGTACCGTGTGCTGTACGAGGACGGCATTATTGCTGTAGTTTCTAATGTACGCTTTGATGAGTGTAATGTCGGCCGGCATCGTAATGCCGGGGACTCCGATTATGAGTCCGATGCCGACTAGGAGGAGTAGTTTCGCACTAGCTTGCCAGGTGAGGGATTGTTGAAGGGCGGTCTTATCCCAACGTAGATAGGTGGTAGATAGGCGATGAATCCCGTGCCTCAACCTTGGCCTCGACTTTGCCTCGGCCATGCCTCGACCTTGCCTCGGGTCTCTTGGCCGCCTATCTCGGACGTGTCCTCGTGTCCAGCGTTGATGGGGGGCGACTGTACGATACTTCCATTGGTACTGGTATATAAGACACAAGTTATGCAAGTCTTGGTATCTCATCTTAGGATGGATCGGTATTCCTTAACAGGAGTCTCCTAAAGTCTTCTTGCCGTTCACCATTAACCCACAGACTTTAACCCTTATGTCGCGACCAGTCTCCTTGCGTTCATATTCTTAACAGGGATCGCTGCCTAGGGCTGGCGAAGGGATACCAGGTAGCACCGTCGGCGAGGGATCGCCGCACTTTGGTGGCGAGGGGGCGCCGGCTGGGGCTGAACCATCCAGCAGTGTATTGAAGAATCGACTGCGGTGGCAGCTGGCGGCGACTGTTATTTCGGAAAGGAATACCGGCGTGTTCGTCGCCAGATAGTTCAATCCTCCCACCAAAGCCCTATACTCCGTGGGATTGCCCAGCAGCTCCTCTCCGTCCCCCTTACCTAAAGCCCGGAGGCAAAGGGGTAGATCTCGGCTTGGCGTCAACCATTCTATGACGAATTGTGGATGGAGCAACCGCCTGGGTATGCATCCAGTGACCGGTCGCTTGCGTGCAAGCTGCAGAAGTCACCGTAGCTTCTCGTAGCGCAGCGAAGAGCGAAGCGGAGGGAAGGCATCTTCTCTGAATCGCGTCCGTGACCGGCTCGCGTCCAGAGCTTGTTGGAAAGTCGCGCCCGATTGGATGGTTCCGGAGCTTTGCGTTTTTCGTTAGCGCGCCCCCTCTTCACAATCAGAGGTCGCGGGTTCGAGTCGCACTCCGCGAATTTCGAGTTGCACACCGAAACGCGAGGATGCGAGGACGACAGGTCGCGGGTTCAAATCACGGGTCGCACGCGAGTTGCACGCGAGGACGCGAGGACACCAGGACGTGAGGACGCGAGGATGCAAGGGCACATGGATGCGTGAGCGTGTGGGCACGTGGGCACATGGGACCGTGGCACTGTGGATGTAGCCACACGTGGATGTAGCATGGACGCGTGGACGCGTGGACGCGGGACATGAGGATGTAACATGGGCGTGTGCATGAAGTGTGGACGCGTGCATGTGTACCGTGAACATGTGGGCGGGGACACGCGGATACTGGGCCGTCAGGCCATGGGGACGACTGGGTGCGGTGGTGGGTAACGAACAACAGACGCGCGTAGTTGTGTTGTTCGACTTGAACTTGCAAGGTTAAACGTTTATCACAAAATATCAGGATAACCGGGTACGCCTGGGCGTGGCTGTGGGTATATCCACGTAGTTCCACTGTGGGACAGGACTTGCAGTGGAAAACTAGACTACAACGGCTCCGCCACGAAATGACGTGAAGTCGCGCACACCGCAACATTCTTCGGGATAAAATACAGTCGCAGAAATTCCAGAAATTCCCCGGGATAAAATACAGTTCCAGAAATTCCCCGGGATAAAATACAGTCGCAAAAAACACAGCCAACCGCCACGAAATGACGTGAAGTCGCGCACACCGCAACATTCCCCGGGATAAATTCAGTCGCAGAAATTCTATAGAATCATACGGATTCAGAATACATTCTATCAATCAGTGATGCTGCGCAGCACAGTTATTGTATAGAAGTAATGTGTGCCATTGGCCCTCGAGTGTATTCATTAATTTTAGGATAAAATTTATCATACGGATTCAGGATAAAATTCTACCAAACAGCGGTGCTGCGGAACATACATCTTGTATGTATGTTGTTACAGGGTGGTTAACTTCGCCAGCGGCCCCCTTTCCCGGGGCAGTCCCTGCTCTCCCCTGCTAGAGGGGCACCCTAATCCGTCACCCCATCCGACTTCAGAATGTATTCGTTGGGTTCGGCAACTCACCACCAGCATCCAACCAAATCTAGCGGATCAACGGCGCATCAACTTAGTTCCTGGTCAGCTCGCAAGTTGATATTATCACGTCCTACACCGTCCATAAGATGGGGGGCCACCTCCCATTTCATCACTCCTCAAACACCCGAGGAGCCGGCAGGCGGATTTGAACCCGGGTCGACTGGGTCGACTGGGAGCAGAAGTCAGGCCTTAACCTCTGCCAGCCGCCTGCATCTTGTATGTATGTTGTTACAGGGTGGTTTTTACAGGGTGGTATTATCACGTCCTACACCGTCCATATGATGGGGGGCCACCTCCCATTTCATCACTCCTCAAACACCCGAGGAGCCGGCAGGCGGATTTGAACCCGGGTCGACTGGGTCGACTGGGAGCAGAAGTCAGGCCTTAACCTCTGCCAGCCGCCTGCCTCTTGTATCGATGTACTGTGTTCCATTGCAGTTCTTGAGGATAGGAGGATAACCTGTCGCGACATCAGTCTGACTGGCCATTTCTATGGACAATTCTGGTTCCGGTAAGGAGTCCTGGTTGGGACTGATGCCTGTGATGTTGCTCCATCTCCTGCATGGGCGGTAGACCAGTAATCCTCTTCCTGACATCATGCAGGACGTCGGCGGTTAGGTACAGTTGCAGGTGGAGGCTCGTGGCTTCTGAGCTTGATGGGCCGGACTCAAGCCACACCTTCCCCCCCGACACCCCAGCTGTCCAGTGCGGATGCAACCAGAAAGGCGCAGGCGCGAGCCAACTGGACGCCTGAGCAAGTGGCGGCGGATCGAGCAGCAGCTGCAGCGCGATGGGCAGATGCGCGAGCCAACCGGACACCTGAGCAGGTGGCGGCAGACCAAGCAGCAGCTACTGCTCGGTGGGCGCGGTGGTCGGAAGCACGAGCCAACCGAACGCCTGAGCAAGTGGCCACGCATCGAGCAGCACATGCAGCTCGGGTAGCGGAGGTGCGAGCCAACCGAACGCCTGAGCAAGTGGCGGCAGACCAAACAGCGGACGCAGCTCGAAAGCATCAAGCCCGTGCAATTCGGCAACAGTCATCTGAGGAGCACACACCACAACGCACCCGCCACAGCAGGGGTAGCCTTGTGGAGGCAGTTTTAAATGCTGCCTTCTGGGTGTTCAGGCGGCCGACAAACCCCACCAAGCCTCGTATGGGTGCCTGGTTAGACAGCAGTACAGCTTCATGGCCGGAACATGTGCAAGATGTTCCTGCGGGTCAGCCTCTGCCCACTGTTCCTCTAGCGGAACAGATCCGAGTCGCCGAACAGCTTGATGCCGCTGTCAAAAACAACATGCCATCCTGTGTCTGCGCCTGCTGCAGCGAGATGAAGTCCGCGGTACAGGCACACGGCTACCGGTTTGGTGACATCCCCAACGTGCACCAGTTGCGAGCAGATGTTTGGAGGATGCTGGCAGTGGCGCGTCCAGCTCAAGTCGTCGCATGGCTACCAGTGGCGGCCGCACCAGGGGGCAGAACAACACCACCGCCCGAGCCAGCTTTGCCGTGGGGCTTCTGAAAGACGTGGCTCAATGGGTCCAGCACTCAGTAACGCCCCCGAGTGCCAAGTCCAGGTCAGCGACAAATGCCCCATGAGACGGTGTTTAGGATGTGTGGGCTGTATGCTGGCTGTGTTGGCGGAATTGCACGGAGAGGCAGGCTCTGCGCCATTAGTCTAGTAGCAGGATACTCGCCTCCCACGTGCACCTGATCGGAGATTCGCGAGCGGCCCGGGTGCAAATCCCGGATGGCGCACACAAAGATCGTTTTGGATGCATTTTACACGTACTCGAAACACTGACCTGCATGTCTACGTTACCTGTAAGTCTGGCTCTAGACGTCGGCGGGCCGGATAATCGCGCAGCGTTGCGCAAGACCTCGTTCCTGCCCGTAAACCTTCTGCCCAAAGGCAAAAACATGCACCCACGACTGGTAAGAGCACCAGGGGCGAACGTGGGTGACAGCATTGAACATGCCACATGTGCAGCGTGTACGTTCTCCAGCATGTTGCCCAGATAGGCCTATTAACCTGTAACTCCCAACAGCCTAACCGGACACACATGAGCACTTGATGCAGACGCTGGGGCATGGTCACTTGAGTGTGCTCTAACCAATCGAGAGGCGCACCCCTAGGCGGGGCCACTTCCATCCAGTTAATCCCTATGGGGAAAACGCGGGGGTCAACTAGGGTATTCGGACACTCCCATCGCGCATCAAGCCGCTTGGCAAATACCTAACGAATGCTCTCAACTGGCAATTCAAGGGTGGCGTAATGCGCTATGAGATCATCACTGTGCGTATTAGTTGGTGGGGGAATCCGCTCCTACGCTAGTAAGAAAGGCTAGTACCTTGCATGTCCAGCACTCAGTAACGCCCCCGAGTGCCAAGTCCAGGTCAGCGACAAGTGCCCCATGAGACGGCATTTAGGATGTGTGGGCTGTATGCTGGCTGTGTTGGCGGAATTGCGCGGAGAGGTAGGCTCTGCGCCATTAGTCTAGTAGCAGGATACTCGCCTCCCACGTGCACCTGATCACATGCACTGCTGGCTGTGGCTTGCTACTAAGCCACCCTCCGTCACACCTGTAATGTAACTGAGTGCTCGCCACTGCTTCCCCACATTAATACCGTTCTCACCTACACACCACACCACCCACGCACCACACACCCACAGCTGCCCTGGGAGTCGAAGCTACGGTCCCCTTCGCGGCGCAGCGCGGTCGATTTACGGTTTGATGCAGGCACCCCGTCGCTGGTATGAGAAACTATCAGCAGAGTTCGCCAAGCTGGGTCTTTATCCTTCTAAGTCTGATCCGGCGATGTTCGTTAAGACGGACGAGCGTGGGGTTGCTATTGCTTTGGTGCACGTAGATTGTTCAGTCGTTTCCTGTTCCGTCGTTTCCATTGTTCCGTCAGAAGACCCGGTCTGGTCTGGATTGACACTACTGCGATCCGCGGTTTAAGGTCCTGGGTTCGATTCCTGGGGAGACCCCCGAATTAGTCGGGAGCGCGAGATTATGGCTAGCTGCTGAGATGTGGAGTTGAGGTCGCAGTTGATGGACCAGATTCGCACGCTGGATTGGTGGCGATTGCCGAACCCTCCGTCTCTTCGGTTGTTCGGGTGAATGGATGAGGAGGGGTCCTAGACGGCTGGACCCGCCGCCTTGGACTTACAGTTCGTATGGCGAAGTATAGTGTGGTAGTGGTGGATGGTGCTATAAGATGATAAATCGTAGAACTGACAATGTGATAAAAGCGGCCCAGAAGCCTCCCACTCTGTAACATTACAGAAGA